CAAAATAAATAGTCTGGTCAATTTTGTGACTACATATTTATCCAATGATTCGAACCCTGTCTACTCCTATTTACCTGCTTAAGAGGATCGGGTTTCGTAGGCTTTATGCATTTATTAGTGAATTCTCTTGATTATAAGCCCTGAAGGCCTAATATGAATATATTAAAATAAGTACACCGGTCGTCACAACCATGTGTTATTTTGATAGTTCGAACCCTGTCTACTCCTATTGATCCGCGTAGGAGGATCGAGTTTAAACTCGAATTCACTTATTGGCCCGCGCAACATCCCTAGATGTCACGTGTGCGCAATAACACGCTCGTCGGGGCCCATGCAGGTGTTTGGACGCATTTTATAATTATTCATCGGACCTTGTCAACTCCTATTTTTTTTGCTTAGGAGGATCGGGTCCAAACTTATTGACCCGCGCAGCATCCCTAGGCATCATGTGTGTGCCAATAACATGTTCGCCGGGGCCCATGCAAGTGTTGGATTGTAATCACCCCTTGTGTGTACCTATGTGCATACATATTAAGATGCATGTGTAGGGGTGCTATAAAATATTTTAGTTGTGCAGGTAACTGTCATTTAAATACACTATATTTCATTTGAGAGCTTATATACACATTCTATCTACAAATACGAGTGTTCCGGATCCGGAGGCGGTGTTATTTGGATGTTATGAGGCATCTTATCATCTTGATGTTGACTTCCCTTTTCTCATTCACCAGGGAAGGTCTTTCTTGAAATTCATGACCACTGCCTCATAAAAAACTCTTTTTAAGACTTTCAGTATAATAGACTTGTTTCCGGTGATCGTGGATGGTAGAACTATTTTCTTTCTAAGTATAGGATCAAAAAGAAACTTTGGACACCAGAAAGTTTAGTTCTAATTTGTTCAAACATCCATTTCCTTCTGCCAGGGGGTGTCCTTCGTACACCAAGTTGCCTCGTACCCGACGTACTCATAGATCTTAATCACCGTTGTTGTAGGTGACATTTGTACTTGTGTCCGCAAGGGTTCGTTGTACTTACGAATACCCATTGTTGTTATCCACAAGTAGCTCGTATTTATTTGCAGAGACCCATTCTATTTGCTACGACTTCCTGGAGGTATTCGTAAGAGATCCATTGTTCCTACATCATATCTACCTTTCACCAATATCAGGTTATTTGAAGTTCGTACTTGTTCATAGGGACGGGTCTTCCACCATCAATTGTTAGTATTTTCATCTCAATCTACAGGCAATTACTTGTATTGGAGATTATGGCAGTCGCATATGAACTCTGCAACTTGTTACTGTTGTTTGCAAGTATAGTTCATTTGATCTTATAGGGATTGTCGTAGGAGTTCATTACATTCATCTTTCGCGTACATTGAGATTTCATCTTTTGCTTATAACTTGTTGTTAGCTTGGATGACCGTGCATTTAGACTTTGATTTGTTCATTCATCCTAAGCCTGGTTCTGTGTATTCCATCGGACCTGAGTTCAAGTTCAATTCATGCTTGAGTCTCTTGCAAGTCCAGTGCGTATGTGCTACGTCACATCTAAATTCTTATTCTCCACATCTTGTTCCAGTTTTGAGTTCAGAATATATGTTCAAGTGCAGTTCTTTGTATATGTTCGAGTTCAAGTTCAGTTTCATTTACACTCGAGTTCACCGAGTCTACAACTCCCACTTAATGTTGTATAGTACAAGTTCAAGTGCTAGTTCAAGTTTAGATTCAAGTCCAGTTCGTGCTTGGAATCCTTATGGTCTTCTTGAGTTCAGACTCCATCCAGGTTCAAGTCTTTGGTTCAATTCAATGTCATTTGTCCAAGTTTGATTTGAATTCAGATGTCCAGGATCATTTTCTTTCTCAAGTCATTTTTATTTGAGTTTGAATTCATTAAGATTTGAGTTTATTGTATCAAATCCCATAAGTCTAAGTCCACTGTTGTTCTTTTGAGTTCAAGTTCTTGTTCTTCAAGTTTTTTTTTTTTTTTTTTTTTTCCTTCAACTTTTTACATCCGGACTTGGACTAATATAGTCAGTTTTAAAAATGACAAAACTTTATTAGTGAATTAGTTTATTTTTTTCCTTCCCAAAATGACTTACAATCATTAAATCACTTGATTACTGCTAGACGGGTTCAATATATTAACTAAATACGTGATATTAAAAATCTCATTGCATAAAAACAAATCATAAAATCTCTTTAAGATCGAATCAATACAAGATTAAGCTAATATCAACCAAGAAAAAAATGTAAATGAATAGGAAATTAAATTTGTAGTGATTTGAATGGACGGCCAATGTTAAATCTCTTAATCGTGGACCGTTTATTGGGCATTTAAATGTCTGAGTGATATCAGAATTCGGCGATCTTGAGCTCGTTGGATTCGTCTCGTCTAGCCGCTCAATTGGACTATAAGCATTTCATGTTTGGAAACCATTTGGTAATCCAAATTATGGTTTAAACCTTCCAAATATGCTTCGAGTCTTTGATTTTGAGTCATTTGGGTTCGGATTGAGTCGAATTTGGTGCCGTTGGGTTCGCATTTTCGGGACGTTCAGTTTGATTGAATGTTGAAATAATACCTAAATAAGTAATTAAATAATTAATATTATAATTAGTTATTAAATTATTAATTAAATTATAGGATAATTAAACTAGTTTCTATGTATATTATTCATAAGTAACTCATAGCTAACACAAAATAAATTCAAAGCACATTAAATTTAATATCTAAATGAACCAACCATCTTAAATCCTAGATTACGTTGTCAAACAGTTTCTTAGGATTTGTCAGGATTTAACTTATGTTATACCAAACATTTTTCAGGATTTAACATCCTCAAGATTTGCTAAATTCAGATTTACAGGATTTGCTAAATCCCACTAAAATTAAATCCTATTTTTTGCCAAGTAGCCCCTAAGGGCTTGTTTGGATGCATATAGGATTTAATTTCAGTAAGATTTTGTAAATCCTCCAAATCCAAATTTATTAAATCTTGAGAGGGTCAAATCATAAAAATTGTTTGGTAAAAATATGTTAAATCTTAACAAATCCTATAAGATTGTTTGACAATGCTATTCAGGATTTAAATCTCTAACTCTCAAATCCTTCCCATTTTGAGAATTAGAACACAAATTGCTCCATTTGACAATTAGAACACGATGACATTAATTTTTTTTGAATTTCATGAAAGTTGAGATTTTGGATATTTTAAATTGAGTCAAATGTGGCACACACTAATCAAATATGGGTTTTACAAATATATCTAGTGGTGGAATTATGATATTGGGTGATAAGTCATTAAAAAGAGTGCACATTTTAGATATCTTGGATCTATTGTTCATAATGATGTTGAAATAGATGAGGATATTATTAGTAGAATTCATGTTGAATGGTGGAAGTGGAGGAACACATTGGGCATATTGTGCGATAAAAAAGTACCTATCAAACATAAGAGAAAATGTATAAAATGGTGATGAGACTCACAATGATTTATGATGCAAAATATTAACAATTAAAAGAGAGGCATAAAATTAAGTTAAGTATTGTAGACATGAGGATGCTCAAACTGGCTTTACACTTAGCGACAGATTGTGAGATGAATATATATATGAAAAAGTTGGAGTAGTTCCAATGATAGGTAAGATTAGAGTTACAATAGATTATTTGGTCACATAAAACGTTGGCCTTAGATGATTTGATTAGAATGTATTAAAAATAATTTTTTTATTAGATTTAAATGAAACTTGACTCTTAATTGGACACAATGGAGAAAAATGATTCATGCTCTTGACCCCAAGTAGTGAGATAAAAAATTCTTATTGTACTAATGATGCTAATGATGAAATTTAAAGCTTTATATTTCTAGATAGTTAAATTACTAAAACAATAATTAAAGTTGGAAAATAGTTTTCTCCAAGAATTCAGAGTAATTTGTTTTGAGAACTTACGTGTAATGGATTTTTATGGGCTTAATTTAATTCGTGAATTTAAATACTTTATTTGAAATTATTTGTATATTTTACACAATGATCTACGCAATAAAGATTTTACTCTGTGCCGTTATGTCATAATTCTTGTTAGTTTAATAAAAGATGCATTTATTCTCTCCATAAACCAGCCATAATATTATATCAGTCTAACTTTCGTATTTATTGAAAAAGCATTATCGCCAACTTAGTGGGGATTTCTCATGTTACCCATCTATACGAAAACTAAGCTAATGCTACATTGATTGTTTCACACATGATTGGGGAAATTTCCTTCTAATAGAAATGCAATATCTCATATTACACCAGGAAAAATTCCCTCCATGTTCATGACATTTATGTTCAGGCTAGATGAGTAAATGCTAGCAATATTAATTGAAAATTGTCCTGGCTTTTAAGAATATTGATAAAAGTTTTTTCCTTTTTTTTTTTTTCACCTGAAAGTCCCCAAGTGGAAGATTATTATTAACATAGATGAGGATCGAACCAATGATCTTGACAATAACTTTCAAAATTCTTTCCAAACAAGCTAGTTGGTGCCTATGATTGTTTTTGAAACTAGTGAGAGCAACGTCACAAATTTCAAATAGTTAATATTCAAACACAGAAGTAATGGAGTTAAATTTCTATTATCTCTTCAGCCAAGGCTAGCTTACCCACAGAAGGATTTGAATGTTTACGGTATTCTATCCCATGATCTTGATAATGTTTTGGGATTTTTATAAACTAAGATTTCATTTGGAACATATTTTTTAGGGCTGTTTAAAGTAATTTTTTAATACAAAAATTTTTAATTAAAAAAAAATTGTACTAAAACATTACTTTAAAAAATAGCAAGGAACATGTCACAAACGAAACCTAAGCTTCCTAATACCTTTTTATTTTCTTAGTTCTAGGCAATTAGTATTTTTTTCTCGTTTGTTGATGTTTCAGCTTCATAAGCTATCATATCCATAGCTAATACCTAGAAGTACTCTCTCTCATTTAACTACTGTGAAACACTTGAAGGTGAAGTACATCCTGGGAGCCAACCCAATGAACATGAGTTATGTGGTCGGCTATGGCCAAAATTTCCCCAGCCATGTCCATCATCGTGGCGCTTCAATTCCTTCAAATCAAAGGCACGTCTCATGCACTGAGGGATGGAAATGGCGAGATGCCAGGACGCCAAATCCCCATATCATCACTGGAGCAATGGTCGGGGGCCCAAACCAGATGGACCAATTCGTCGACAAGAGACAGAATTACAACTTTACTGAGCCGACGATAGCTGGTAATGCAGGTCTTGTTGCAGCTCTTGTTGCATTGACGAGCGGCAGCGGCAGGAATTCCATCTTAAATTAATTTTTAGTTGATTTTGAGTTCTACTTTAAAACTTAATTTAAGTTATACTGAATAATACTTGATTGCTGTTTTCAATTGTTTTGAAATTATTTAATCTCAAAATAAATTTGATTATTTTGAAATAAATTAATCAAAATTTTGTCAAGATGAGTGCTAAATCATTAGATTTATTTTAAGAAAAATATAACATCTAAATAATCAATTAAATTTTAGATTACATTTACAACAAAATAAAATATTAAATTTTACTTAAAATGAATATAATTTATGAATTATTAATTAACTATCATATTGTACCTATTATTTAGATCTCCTAATGGGTGAAGTTGATTGTTGCTATAACTGCCATTCAAACATAAAATGATTCAAGTTTTTTTTTTTTAAATTATATAAATATGAAAATAAATATTTTCATTCTTGTCATTTATGAAGGAAAAATTTTGTTATTTGTCATATTCATCGAGTGTGGAGCAATCAAGAAGGAACTCAAATATTTCAAATGTGACTAGATAAAATCACTCTATTCTCTTATTATTTGGGGCAAAATTAAGATGAAAGAAAGCATTAAAATTCGACTATCCTTTTCCCTTCAACTCCCTTATGACACCAAATACAAGTAAGCATGACTTTTTTTTTTTAAATAAAAATTTTATAAGTTTTTTTTTTCCTTTTATTTTTTGATGATGGTGAGACCTGTAATGCTTTATGGTGCTGAATGTTGGTCATTAAAAGAGAAGCATAATACTAAGTTAATTGTTGCAGAGATGAGGATGCTTAGGTGGATGAGTGGCTTGACCCTTAGAGATAGGATATAAAATGAGAATATATGTGAAAAGGTTGGAGTAGCTCCAGCGGAAGATAAGATTAGAGAGAGTCACCTTAGATGGTTTGGTCACATTAAATGGAGGCCTTTCGATGACCCTGTTAGGAAAGTTGAGGTATTGGATTTGACTTCTGTTAAGAAAGGTAGAGGTAGACCTAAAAAGTCATGGTTAGAAAATATTAGAAATGATCTTTCTTTATTAGATTTAAATGAAAATTTGACTTTTAATCAGACACAATGGCGAAAAAGGATTCATGTAGCTGACCCCACGTAGTGGGACAAAGGCCTGATGATGTTGTTGTTGTAAATAAAAATTTTATTCCATAAAAAGAAACAGGAGTTGAAGACACGCTGAAAATAAAAGTACATCCGATAAGGCCATGAAATCAGAACAAGAAACGACAGATAAGGATGCAAGATGCAATCCAACCCGCAACGACACTGCAGCCATGCTCAAACCATCCATTAGTGACACACACCGAAGAACAGCAACCATGGCAACCACCAAGCAACGTCTTACCACCAAGGTTGCCAACAAGCCATGGCGAACAAGGTGAGAAGCAGAAAGTTGCCTCATCATAGTCCAAAGCGCACGAAAACTCATGGCAACCGAAACGAAGAGGCAATACAAAAATTATTTCTTCTTAGCTTTACTTTTACATTTTTTGCCCCACGCAATGAGAATGAAATCATCATCCACGTTATCACCCATATCATCTACAACAACCTAGCAAAAGTGGGATAATCCTCCTCGAAATACAACCAATCGTTTTGCACCAGAATCGACTTATTTGAGGACCAATTCAGATGAGTATTTAATTCAACAGTGGACATAACAGTAATAGGAATGTCCACACAATTTACAGAGCGATTCGAGCCAGGAAAATCTAAGAAAGTCACAGCCACAACAGGACTTCCAACCCCAGAACTAGACCCTGAATCAGCCTCAACATCTGCACAGGAAAATCCTTTAGAAAGCTCCTTACCACTATTATTAACATCACAAGCACCTAACATTAAGTCAGACAACACCTGACCAGTAGGTTCAACAACTAGGATATCAGCCGGGTTATCAGCACCAAATGACAAATCAACAATAGGACTACCCGTAACCTTAGCCACAAGTAAGGAAGGGGAAGGCAAAGGCTCAATAGGAAAGTTCACGCAGATAGATGCGTCGAAGAGGCAATCATTAGGGATAGTTTTCTAACTTCTTTAAGAAACCATTTTTTATTATAAAATATTTTTGAAATTTTAAGAAAGTTGTCTCAAACAAAGTCTCAATCTTATGTTTATATGCAAGGTATTTGTGGAAAAAATCAAACAACAAAGAGTTGAAATCTAAATTCAATGGATCCATAATGTGACCGACCATTCCTTTTGCTTAGAAACAAAAATGTAATGAAATTATTATAAATGTGCAATAGTTTTATCGTATAAAGTAGAATTGAATGAATTTTATAGCGGGGGTGTTGCTTGAAATCAATGTAAAGGTAGAGTTTCTCTTATTAGGAGACTTTTATGAGTCTTCCTACAAATTATATTTGCATCTCCATTTAATTATCAATTGTCTTTGTCATATCTGTCTCTCTTTATATGCATGTCTCTTTAATCACACATTTTATTATACCTGATCAACATACGAAGGAGGGATCAAAATAACTGGAAAAGGGATCTATATATTATGTACCATATGTTGTAAAGTTGTTGATGGTCCATAATATTGTAGCTTTAAGTAGGAAGTTTTATTTAGTTGAGATATCATATATTAGCACATCTTCTTCCCATAATAACTTGAGGTCATCACTACAGGAAGATTACTCATTACTGGCGGCTTTTTGGCGGTCAATTTTCCGACGAAAGACAATGAGACGGCTTTTCCGATGAAATTTTCCAGCGGTTTCTTTCCAGCGTAAATTTCCGACGAATTTTTCGGTGGCTTTTTAAATTTCCTGCGGATTTTAAAAAAATTAACTAAAATAATTAAAAATTTAAATATTAAAATGATTTAATAAAAAATGATTAAAAATAATATTAACTAATTTTAGTTAACTATTTTCTTAATTTAAGTAAAAATATTTAAAATTAAAATTATTATTTTAATTTTAATTTATTTTACAATTTTATTTTCAATAATTAGTAATTTTAATAGTATTTTGATTAATATTTAATTAATAAT